TAGGTATGTGCCCTGACTGGGAATTAAACTTACAGCCTTTTGATGTATGGGATGATGCTTCAACCGACTGAGACACCTGGCCTGGGCCTCATAGGCAGCTCTTTCTAAGTCCATTTCTCTGTAGCTTTTCCTCCCAAGGCCTGCATTTTCTCTCTGGGGCAGTATGAAATCAGTCATGCCCTTCAGTTATATGAGTGACCTTCCAATCCCTTAATATGTAAGACGTTGCTGTTGTTCACTTAAAGGTATTTAAATACCTATAGTTTACTGGGTATTGTGTAAGTGCTTTGGATCTAAAATGTTTGGCAGACATTCAGAAAAGAAACTGACAAGTTCCTGGGGGAGTGGGAGATGATAGAAGATGAGTGGAAGCTTTCCAGTAACATCTCAGTCCCAGGAAGACTGGACATCTTTAATCTCATACAGAACCATCCTCTTATTCAGAGTTAGCCAGCAACTTACAAAGTCCTTGGCATAGGAGCAAGAGTCAGACTATGAAAGCCTAACACAAGAACGTAGGGTCTGCTCTGTAAGGTAATGGAAAGACTAGAGGCAAGGTGTCTATGAAAGTGAGATGTTGAGGGGATGAGGCAGGACACGCCAGCTGAGGACTGAACGAAGGAAAAGTGAGAAAGGAGAGGGATAGATGGCCTGGGAGAAATGGATAAATTGAAGAAACTGAAGATTCTATCAAATTGAATTTGGAAGGGACATTAATTTCAGATAATAATAAAGTACTTATATATAATCAGGAGCATGAATTGCTGAAATCATGCACTAATGTAAAAGACATATAGTATCTCATGATTGGTTACAAGAAAGACTGTATTATTATCTATATTTAACTAAAGATAATAATAGGTGTAGTTTTATTTTAAGGAAAGCTGGTGTATAAGTTTGCATTCATAATTTGACACAAAGGATTTTATTCTAAGAAACTACTGAATTTTTTTTAGTTCATTGCAGTAAATTGGTATATAAATGAGTAGTTTTAGAGCATTCTGGTTTTTCTCAGAATTGAACTAAGTGATGTGAGGAGAATTTTATTAAATTAAATGAGAAACTCAAGGGAAGTTAACATCATCAAGATGGGGACATAGGTCATTCCCAAGTTCAGTGCCCCTCACAAAAAAAGACCAACTAGCAACTATCCATAGACAAGACATCTCTGTGAAAATCCCAGAACCCCAGTGGTGAGGCTGAGGCACACTCTGGGCAAGAGAGACCCAGAGGACTGCATCAGAAGGCTGAGGGGGCTGCAACACCCCTCCCCCAGGCCAGCACCAGCCATACCCGGAGGGCCCTCCCTGCGCTACAGCTTCTACAGTAGGATAAACAGAAGTGGGGTGGACATCCAGTATGATGGGATGCTTTCTGGGAGACCCACTGGGTCACCTCACAAAGATCATTGGGGCAGTCAGCGGAGCCTGACCCTGAGTATCAGATAGACGTGGAGAAAGGGAGCTGGACTAATAGCAACCAGCAGTCAGTTCTTGGCAGACTGTATTCCTGCTTACAGTGGCACCTGAGCAGAGATCCCAGCCAGTGGTTACACCCACCTGCAATGGTGAGTTGGTGGCCTTATGTGGCCAGGTCACTCAGTGCTGCCTGATTTAGATCCCCAGCCAATGTACAAAACAGTCGTGAAATATATCCTAAGTCTGACCCACCCAGAGAAGGAGTCAAGCCGGCAGCCCTGCCCCTAGTCATTGGTACTGCATTTAAAAAACTGTAATGGATAATGAATAATGTGAATAATTGATAAATATTTACCAATTTATAATGGTAAATTATCAGAATACACACACCCATATGCACAAATGTATACATCTACAAGTGAACTTTTTTTCTGACTTTTTTCATCAATAGAATGAGAGCCAAGTCAGTAATCAATATGACTGCTTCAGCTTATTACATGTTTATTGATAAATGAGCTGGATTAGTGATTTTCAACCCACAAAGCGCACACTGGTATGCTGTAAGAATTGTTAAAATATGCAATACCTGACTATTTAGTCAGAGGCACTGACCATTTCCCTTACATTGTCAAATTTTAAAAAATGACAACAGCCAACACAACAATAGCTGTCTGGTGTAAATGAATCAAAATGCTGCAGATTTTTAGTAGTTGGTTTATGCTGGCCATGAAATGAAAATGGTTGAAAATTGCTGGGCTAGATGCTTGTCTTTATGTTGGCACTGTGGACCCATGTTAAAAAATAATGTGGAAGAGGCTGTATTTTGCCCTTAGGAAATCTCATGTCAGTCCCATGTATTTTAAGGGAAGAAATTATTTTTCATATCTAGTATGAGATGAGCTCTTTTTCTGTTTATTTCTTTGTTCTTATTCTGCTTTTTAGCATTAGTGATCTTATTCATCAATTTGAGCATTGCTTATTCCTTTCATTTCAGGTAAATATTTAAATGTCAAATGTCTGACAGTCTTACCTTTTGGCTGAACTCCATTGATTAGTTTCTGTTGGGGCCTGATCTGATTGTTCACAGCTTTGGCTGTCACTCTAATTGTCCCATGGCTGTGGACATTTCTGCCGAAGATGACTGTGAGTCTAGAATATGGTGGCAGTTTCATGGCTGAGAGGCAAAGTAATCATCTACTTTGTCATCAAACCCCAGTATGTTTGGCTAATAATAATTATTCCAGAACAGGCTTAGTACCCATTATAAACCAAGATATGTGAGCACTCTACTTATAGATAATAATCTTTCTGTGCAAAGTCTTTAATTGTCTATGTTTCAGCAAACCATTTGCACTTGTCAAACCAGGAAATCTATATTCTACTTTACAAAACTATGGGGTAGAAGTTCCAGGTTTCTTTGGTTTTGTATTAATCATTACCATCTCCTTTAAGCTTCCATAATATAAGGCAAATGCACTCACTAAAGACAGATATTCATTTAACAAACATTTTGTTTTTATTTGCTATGTTGGTATTTCATATAATATGATGTACTTTACAATAACATAAACATAACACAGTGACTTATTTTACGAGTTGGTACTAGTTTAGGAAAGGCGCCTCGTTTGGGAGAATGCCTTGGTAAAATTCTTGGTATGACATAGAACCTAAGACCATGGGTTTTCAGGTACCAAGGAAACAAAGATAGCTAAACCATTCCAAATAAAAACAGGGATTTGAAGGTGAGAGGAGTAAGAGGAGGTATGGATAAACTTCAGGGTAAAAAAGGGCCAAAGACTATCCTTTTAATCTTTAGTTATCTACTACATGGATCTGTTCTAAAATCTTTCCTGTTCACTTCCTGAGAACTTCGGTAAGCGCTGTTGCACATGTAGTTTGCCTTTGTGAGAGAGATTTTCAAGGGAGTGCAAGGAGAAAAGTGTTGTTCAGTGAGTGGCTGTACACCACTAGTCCACTTGGAAACAGTCACAAGATTCGTCAACAGAAGGAATTTACCAAGAGCTCAGAGCCAAAAGGAAGAGAAAAATACATTACTCCCCCCTCAAGAATCCTTAGAGACACTGGTAACCACAGACACAGGGCACCCTCAGCTAAAGCACAGGGTTGAGGACAATTCCTTTGGCATTGAAGAGGCAGGGTATTTCATCTCATCTCTGAGTTACAAATTCATACAATGCTTTAGCCCCTTTGGATGGTGGGTACAGTCTGAGGATGGTGTGGCCATCGTGGAAGGGAAAGAGAGAAAGGAGTGCAGATGCTATCCAACACCAGCTTTTGTTCCATTTAATGCTTAGCCATATCCAAGGCCTCAAATCCTTTCCCAGTACTTGACTTGTGTCAAAACTCTAAACTGGATGGTATGTATGAATTAAAATAACTTTTGTGAGTATAGTATAATGATATATAAATATATTAAGTACAAGAAAACAGCATACAAATTCACACATTGAGTCTCAAGAGAAGTAAAAGGAACAATAATAGTAATAATGTTTACTTAATTTCATGCTAACTTCCTAATATATGGAGTATATTTAACTAGTATTTCAAATTTCTAAATTTGAGCATACTTTAAAGTCAAAGCATGTCATTTAAAAATATAACCTATAGTCTTTGTTGATTGTCTTATATAATAAAGCACTAACTCCTGGGGCTCGTAATATATTCTTAAACAGACTATTTCCCTTGTCAAAGAAACTCCTTAAACTATAAGTACCAAATGCCCCAAATTATTTGTGGTTATTAGTACAGAAATAGATATCATTGGTATCAATTTATAGCCGCCTGTAATATGTGTAGGAAATAAAAAGCCTTTGCATGAGTTTGCTAATACTCATTTCTACATCAAAAAAATTTACTTCTAACAAACCACTATAAAATTTATTAAAGTTGATTAAGTTTTGATCTACGCATTTAAGCATTAGTCTTTAAATATTTGACTGACACATAATTCAATCTTTTTATTATCTTAATATAAATTAGACAATTATATTGTATTCCTAGTTACATCAATTTTTACTTGAGAGATGGCATGATAATTAATTCTCTTAGATTCTAGAGTGAGAAAATTTATCTCATAAGAAAATGGAAGTCACTACAGCTCTGACATATTAGAGTTATTAGGATTTTACATTCCTCTGGAATATATTCTGTATGGAAATGTGTACACTTGTAAGGTAATAACCTTTGTAAATCATTTTGAAATTTCTATTTAATCAGATTCTTCACATTTCTGCTAACATTTCACAGCCAAATATATATGTATATAAAATATCTATTTATTAGTCAAACATTAAAGAGATTTCCCATGTAGCAAAATAAAACAAAACAACAACAAAATGAAAGCAACCTAAATATTAGGAAGAAGCTTAACCTATGAAAGTTTGATTTTAAAAGGGTTACATAATTTTGAATTAGTATAGAAGAATCAACAAAGTAGAACCAAGGATAAAGTGATAGGTTTGCTCCAGTTTTAGAACTATTGGCTAGACACAAAAACAAGTCCTATTTTTTTTCTTTTTTTATTGTTCAAATACATTTGTCTCCATTTACCCACCACCACTTAAGAATACGGGACGTTTCACAAGTTCGCGTGGCATCCTTGTGCAGGGGCCCTGCTAATCCTCTCTGCATCGTTCTAATTTTAGTATATGTGCTGCTGAAATGAGCACAAGTCTTATATTTTTAGAAATTGCAAATAAAAAAATGGAATTTATCTTTGGGTTCCTTTCCCCCATTTACCACTTCCTTTGCCTCAAGCCCCATTGTCTCTCCTTTTTCCCTTTTCACCCCACCCCCTCCTCTGATTTTTCACCACTGTCCCCTAGTTGGTTGTCTTTATGCTGCTTGACAAGGCCATTCACTCTTTCTAGAAAAACACCTTCCAATCTGATTATCCATCCTGACTACCATTCTTAGATGGGTAGATCCCTAATCTGTTAACCTATTTTTTCTTCTTAAAGAGGACCAAGTAGATCCTAGCATAATGCTTGGCCCTTAGTATCACTACAGGAAAATTTATTAAATAAATATAGCTGCAACATGTGCATTTTTATATTTATAACTAGTACCTCAACCTGTTTCTAATTCATAGGCATGATCACTATGACTTACTATCCAGAACTTGTCCCTAAAAACCATACATACACTATTTTGTCCATGCTACCTCCTACAGCCCTACTTAGCAGTTCCCTTAATCACTTTCTTGAATTAAACTAATATTTATTAAGTACTTACTACATCAAATACTGGAGTTAAGAATCATTGAAATAATGTAGGCAAAAGATGATAGCTTGGTCTGTGGTGTTGGAAATGGGCATGGTGAAAAATTGATTAATTCAAAAGATATTTAGGAGATAAAACACACAGAACTTGATGAGATATTGTGTACAAGGGGAAGACAGGAGGGGCACAAATAAGGTATCAAAGATGACTTCTTCATTTCTAACATATACAACTGGTTAAATGGCGGTAAAATTTTCCAAGAGGTTATGATAGAGGAGCACAAAATGTGCAAAAGAGATCATGAATGTAGTCTGAAAATGAGCCCCCTTCAGCATTACATCTTTTAATAATTTGGCAATTACATCTCAAATGCTGTCAAAGTCAATACGTTTTAATCCATGATCTCTAATTTTTAGTTGTACAACATTGTTGTAATACAGCTAAATCCTCCAGGAAATGAAAGCAAAATCCTGTTTTCTTATTTTCCCCACTGCCCTGGGTCGGGCCTTCATTATTTAGTGGATTATGCCTGTGTTTCCTAAATGGAGTGTGACGTACCTTCTTAATTGGTTTCATTCATATAGTGTCCTTCACTTCAAGTCCACCTCTGCCTTCCTGACATGTTTGCCCTGTTTGGAGGGCCCATTTCAGCCTTGCCTGTCTGGCCATCATCTGTCTACTCTTTTTCATCTGTCTAGTTCCAATGTAACCACCACCTCCTTTGGGAAGCCTTCCTTGCACTGACCCCCTACCACTATCTCCTCATGCCTGAATTAAGAAGTTATTCACTTCTTCCCTATGTTCTCTCATACCTTGAATATATTTTATTATTGTCCTGATATACTCCTTTATAATTCTCATGTTTCTATGTCAGCCTTCACTACTGAATGTAAGCTTCTTGAGTGTAAGGATTATTTCTCCTTCAGTTTGTGTTCCCAGCATCAACATAATGCCTGGCACACACTAAATCCTCAGTAGATACTTGTTGAACTGAGCACTTTCCTTTTTGTGTCTTCCTGATGTCCAAGGGATGAGGTTCAAACTCTACCTGCAGTCTTGGGTGATCTTGTCTCACCTAGGATTGAGCTAGCCTGTCCATATGGCCTTGGTCCTTGATCCAGATACATTCATTCCACATCAAGCTTTTGCTAATGGTGTCATCTCCTTGCCTCGATGCTGTTCTTCTTTCTCCCCACTTAATAAACAATTCAGGCCAATCTCTTGCTTTAAGTAAGAGCCCAGGTACCACTGTCTTCATAAACTATATAACCAATATCAGCCTGTGTTATGTTTCTTGTCAGAAGCTCAAAGAAGAAATTGTATCCGCTTTGTACAATACAGTGTGGCCATTATGTGCCATCTTCATTAGATTGATAGCCACCACAAAAATAACAAACTTTCTGAGTATAAGTGTTATACCTTATTGTTCTTTATTCCCAGCAATACTGAATACAGTATTGGGCTTAATTGTTTGAATAACAAGTAATTGTTTCCATAGGAAAATAGAGTGGAAAGTGATTTGGGGATAAACTAGCTTCCCAAAGTCATTTCTGAGCAAGTACCCAATAATTCTTACCTTGTCTTATTGCCTTAAAGTGAAAATTCACTCAAAACCACATGTGTAGAATAACTTTATACATGTTAGTGGTATTTCTGTATTGCAAATTCTTATAGGTTAGCATGCTCACCTTGGAGTTCTCTTAAAGCTTTATTTTATTATATTTTAATAGAATAAATTTTGAAATACTATATTTTTCCTTTCCATTACCTCAAACTTTTTCTGCGTCTTTTCTGTATAGAACAGAGGCAATTTCAACATGAGGTCTTCCTTCTCAAAAAGTAAGGAGAATAGAACCGTACGAAAAATGTAAGGACAATATGAGGCAATGCAAGTTAAATTCTTAATATAGTAACTAGCACATAATTCCTCAATATATTGTTGTTGAATGATAAATGAGATCATTAAATCTATATAGAACTCTATATGTTTTATATATAAAGTGATAAATTCTGTGTCATAACATTTTGCAACAGACTTTATTCTTGAGCTTTGAATAAATGACCTACAAACTACCCCGTCTTTTGTTCCTAAATTGCAACATTGAATACTTGCAGTTACTTTCTCCTTTGGATTTTACTTTGGATTCTTCCCTTGGAAAACAGGGACCATTTCATCTTATCTTTGAGAAACTTAATCAAGCAATTAATATTTGTTTCTCAAAATTTTCTCATAAGTTGCAAGTTGTTAACATTTCTGTTCAGTAGTTAACATTTTAGTTAACACATGCAGATCACATTCGTAAATTTTCACCCACTTGAAGATAACTGATATAACCTACTAGAAATTAAGGCTGTAAATTTTCAGGTAGGGGTTTCAGTGTTACTTCAATCAATACTTTGCAGATAGTGCTAACAGTTTTTTCTATGAAATATGTTGGCCTGTGAGTGGAAAATCAATTCCTGGGAATGAAAAACAGGTGTCAAGTTTGATAGGAACATCATGCGTTTGATGTTTGGAGGCCAGAGGGTTCTGTCAACAAACATAGCAGTAATTCTGTCAGACGCAATATGCGTGGAATTAATGAAAATGCCAGAAACAAAACAGTCTAGACAGCAAGCCAGTTCTGCAAAAAAAGTCAGGGCAAAAAATGTGTCTTCCTCTTGCATCTAAAGTGAATGCATTACAGAAAGACAGTGTAGTGCAGTTGAAATGGAGCCATATTTGCAGCGCTATAGTTCCCAATACAAAGAGAAAATATAGGCAAAAGAATAATAGGTAGCCTCGCCATCAAAGGGACTATAAAAAGTGTCCGTCAGATACGTTTGTCAAATCTTTGTTGTTATCTACCATATAGACACTGATTATTCGATTTAGGGTAGACTCACAAATCCAGGGTGATCTCTTCAGTTTTAAAATTTTAATTAATCCATAAAGACCCTTTTTCGAAATTAGGTCATATTCACAGGTTTGGGGACATAGACATATATTTTAGGTCTTACGCTCAATCTAACACAGCCCACCACCTGGCCCCAGAACATTAACACCCATCCCAGGTGCAAAATACATTTGGCTTAGTCCAACATCCTCAAAAGTTTCAACCCATTCAAATTTTAAAAATAAGACTTGCAGGACATCATAGCGCTTCATATATAGCAGGAAACTTCTAGGTTGGCAGAAGGATAAAAATTATTTCCATTGACTTCAAAGGAAAAAAATGGGTTGATTCAAGGAGGCTGTCTGACACAATGGAAAAAAAATATTCTATACTTAACATTTGTCCTAAACAAACTGGCTGCCTTGAGACGATGTATGCTGAGACAGAACGCAAAATAACCTTTAAAGATTTTTAAGGAATATTCATGCATTGAGTAGGAAGTTGTACGGAACTTTCCCTAATTCTTTTTCAATGCTAAAATGGGGGAAGCCAGGCTGTCAGTGGAGGACTTCTTTTGTAACTAGTTTCTCTACTTTTATACTTGCCTATAGGATGGAGGGACTTAGCTAAGGTGTGAAAATGGTAAATGGAAAACAGTTTCAAAGTGACTTTATTATTCTGAGTGCCTAATGCAGTTAATGTTTGTGGACAGAATATATGTAGTTTGTTGGCACTCAGATATACAGAAATTAAAGTTACACTTTCTCAGAGTTATTATTAACTGTGACCAGTTCACATGTAAGAACTAGGCACTTCTTTCAAGCATTGCCTGACCTTTGTTTATTCTTCCACTGTTCCCTGAGCTTCCATAACACTGAAGAGATACTTGGGTGGCTTACCAGAGTGCCCATCTCACATGGGTATATCTAAATTGAATATGCACTATCCCGTTTCCAAGATTGCCATATTTGTAACTGGTAATGTAAATGTGGTCCTCCTCGTGTCCACAGTGCTGTAACTCCGTAATGCAGAGGAAGCTGCCCTTTCTGGGGTGTTCATCAATGCTGGGGTTTGTACTTGATCATCCTTCTCTGAACTGGCATTGTCAACTCCTTGTTTTAGTAAAGAACACATACCTTCAAAAGAGAGTGAGACTTCCAGCCAGATAAGTGATCTGAAAAAAAAATAGTCATTGTATATAAGTAAAAAAAAAAAAAAAGAAATTGAATAAAACCCCTAGAATAAGTGAAAAGTCCCATTTTTAGAGCTGTCTTCTCAGAATAAAGGATTTTTCAAAGTTGGTGTGCTTTTGTGCACAGTAGCTTTGTACCTTTCCCACACTTAGTACCTTCATTAGTTAGAATTACCACATTACTATCTCATCTACTTAACAGAAGATAAATTTCTTACATCTTTACTAATTTTCCAGGCTCTCAGGAGGTACTTATGAGGAAAAATGTTTTGTGCCTCAGATAATGGCTTCTTTAGATGTTTGAAAATTTCTTCTTTACTTTTTAGATATGCTTTTACTGTTTAATTACTGAAGCAGCATACGGTCATTTTTCTACTGA